GGGTTTGGGGTTTCGGGTTTAGGGACAGATTCCGTCTTCAAGCCGTGGGTGTGGGGTGTAGGGTTTCTGTAAGGGCTGAGGGTGTGGGGTTTAGGGTTTCTTTAAAGGGTTGCTAGAAGGAGTCTATAAGGATCACTAGGAGTACCAGGGCTTCATGTTTGGAGTTTCGGGGTCGGGGGTCCTGAACCACCACAAACCCTAAGTCCAAAGCCCTGGAGCCATAAACCCTAAAAAGCCCAAACCCCAAACCCCTAAACTCCAAACCCTAATACCCTAAACCCTTAAACTCTAAACCCTAACACCCCGAACTCGAAACGCTTAAACCCAGAACCCCTCCACTCCAGACTCTGACTCCCCAAAGCCCTAAACTCAAACCCTAAACCCCTAAACCCCAAATCAACCCACAAGACCCTAAACCCTAAACCCTAAACCCTGAAGCCCTAAACCCTAAATCAACCCAGAAGACCCTCAACCCTAAACCCTAAACCCTGAAGCCATAAACCCTAAAGCCCGAAACCCTAAACCCGGACCTGGCCTGTTGTTATGCCCAGATGTTCTCCCAGAAGGATCGGAGGCACTGCAATGCCTGCAGATCCGGGTGTTAATGTAAGTTTTGGGGTTCAGTTCTATGGGTTTTGTTTAGGGTTTTAGGGCTTTAGGGCTTTAGGGCTTAAGGGTTTTAGGGTTTTAAGGTGTAGGTTTAGGGTTTTAGGGTTCAAGGGTTTTAGGGTTTAGGGTGATGGGTTCAGCTAGAAGGGTCTTATGTAAGTTCTGGGGGGTTTAGCTCTATGGGTTTTATGTAGGGTTTTGGGTTCAGCTATAAGGGTCTTATGTAAGTTTGGGGGTTCAGCTAGAAGGGCTTCGGGCTTGTTGTTGTCGGTCTGTTGGCTTAGAACTTCTGAGGCTATGGCGACAGCACTGCTTAATAAAATCAGTGATTTAAAAAATTGAGCCCCTCGGACAGCCGTGCCACAAAAAATATATAGAAAACATGCGCAAATTAAAAATAAGAAATCCCCTGGACTCGGCGAGCCAATTTATTGTTTGGATGCTCTCATGTCGTCTTCGCCGGCTTTGTTCGCGACAAACAAGCGAACGAAGAAACTAAGGGACTCGATTTCGTATTCCAAAAGCTGGATGCATGGAAAGCCACCCCCGGATTCGAGCCCACAGCCTTATAGAGCCTCTGGAGCCCCTAAACCCCTAAACCCTAAACCCCTAAACCCTAAACCCCCTAAAACCCTAAACCCTAAACCCTTAAACCCCAAACCCCGAAACCCCTGAACCCGGATGCCCTGCTGGACCCTAGACCCTAAACCCTGAGATCCTCAAGCCCTCAACCCCAAATCCTGGTGCTAATGTAGGAAACTGATTAAGAAACCCTGGGTCTTTATTAGGCGTCTTCATATGAATACTAATATTTTAGGGGTTATAGGAACAGGGTTTCTTAACCAGGTTCCTACATTATCCCTTTGCTGTCGAATTTGCGGGGGCCTCAGCGGTTGGACTAGGGTCTTGGTGGTACATTTTACTATAATCATAATAGGGTTTGTTTTTTTTAAGGGTTTAGGGGTTAGGGTTGGGAAAGCTAAGGGAATCCCACGGTAATTCTGTAGAAAAGTTGCCGCTCTTGTCGCTTAGCTTTCCTTGTTACGGTTGATAATATAAATCCTGCATTACCTTCAGGACCCTAAACTATGAGAATTGTGGTATATTTCATAATTATGGGTAATGCAGCATTTATATCATCAACCTGAACCCTACACCCTAAACCCTAAACCCTAAACCGTATGACTCTAACATAAGCTGCAGCGTCTACAAGTAGCTTTGACCCACCGGAGCTGAGGGGCCGACCCGCGTGGCCCTCCGTGGAGAAGAGGGTTGCAATGTCTTCCTTAAGGAGCCCCGAGGCTGCAAGTTTTTTTTTTTTAGGGCCTTTTTCCCACAGTACCATGTCCTGCGAGGCTGCAAGGGTTTAGGGTGTAGGGTTTAGGCTGCTCAGTATATACATATACATATATATAATGGTTTTATCATGTATGATGCTTCTATAAGGGTTTAGGGCTTCGGGTTTAGAGTGCTATAATGGATGTACACTGGTTCTATAAGAGGCTTCAAGGGTGCTATCATGGTGTCAGGGTTTAGGGTTCGGGTGCTATAATGGTTGCATAACGGTTCTAGAGGGTTCTATATATGGTTCTATGTAATGGGTCTATAACGGTTTTATCATTTATAATGCTTATATAAGGGTTCTAGCTTAAACCTATGTGTATATATATATATATAAGGCTCTATGAGGGTTCTAGCCTGTAAGGGTTCTAAAGGGGTTCCAGAAAGAGCGCTCGTATTTTCTATAAGGGTCCGCTAACGGGTTTGTACGGGTTCTAATAATGCTTCCAATGGAGTTCGATTTGGGCTCTAGTAGTCTGTTGAGGGCTTCGGTCCTAAATCCTAAACCCTAAACCGGGGTCAGGGTTGAGGGACCCCAGATACTCCGAAATCCCTAAATCAGGGTTTAGGGTCTAGGGCTTAAGAATACCTGATATCAGAACTGGACCCCTCGCATGGATAGTTCTCTACACTAGGATCCCTTGTTAGGTCCCCCAACTGCTACGGCACCCTTATAAAAAAGCACCCGAAAAGGAACCCTAATTCAGAGAACTACCCATATGACCTACTACCATCAACTGCCACTAGCCTAGGCCCTAAACACTAAGCCCTAAAACCCNNNNAACCCTAAACTCTAAACTCTCAGCCCCAAACCAACTTCAGGAGGGTCTTTGAGGGGGCGAGCTCAGCGCACTGAGCTCCCAACCAGGAAGAGAGGCAACTTCACGGCCTGTGAATGACGGTTTAGGGTTTACGGTTTAGG